TACTGTACTTTAGTACTGGTTTGCGCTGCGCCCCCATGCCACGATTTCAGTACCATAAAAGGCAGCGCTGCCGAAGGCCTTGGTGGTGTTGAAGGAAACAAATTCGTTCAGTGGTCTCGGTGGTGGAAACGATTTCGGGCGGCGTCGCCGTTTTCAGTCGCTCTTCTTGTGGAAAATGTCGTTCCATCGGTTGAGGTACAGCGGGATCTTGACGAGTGCTTAGGCGTCAGGTCGTTCCTTTGCGATGCAGCTTCCTGGGGACTACTCGTCAGTCGACCGCGCTTGTGGTGGTCTGAGTCCATCAATGTCCCTGACAAGGACACAAAGTCTCCGGGCCATTTGCTTTCAGGCCTGGCGAGGTGGAGGCGGTGGAATCGCCAGTGGGAGCTGCTCCCGTGTGCGCCTCAGTTCCCGCGTCAGTTAGGTACAGACTGCCCTTGTGCAACGTTCCATGAGGATATTTGTTCCGGCAGAGTGCGTTACCCTTGCCTCACCACTCCAGCACCGACAGTTGCGGGCCGCGTGCCACCGCCAAAGCGCAAGCGTGCAGAGAGTCCAGAAACCATGAAACGTTGGGAAGCAGGTGGGAAGCAATACCCGCCTTGGCAGTACCGTGCTACAGCTCTTGTCACCATTCAGGGTAACCCTTGCCTGCCTGACCCGCGTACTCGTGAGTTCCTGCATGGTTTCCCGCTAGACTACAGGTCGCGTTGCCGCATGATCGGAAACTCATGGCACTTGCCGACGTGCCGATTCCTGTTGTTTACGTTGCTAGTAGTACACCAAGCCTTGCAGGTTACTGCAGTCGAAAGCCACCAGTGGTATCCGCCGGTGTTTCGCCCGAAGTTTGAAGCAAGGTACCACCCCCATAGGTCGCGACCCATTCTTCGTGCTCGGAGCTGGTGGCTTCGTGCGTGCATGCAGTGGGGCCCGAATGAGCCAGAGTTGCCTGTTCTAGCAGGTCCGGAAGACTCATCAAGCCAGCATTTGCAGTGGGCCCTGGCCCTGTCGTGGGAGGACGTGTTTCCGTTGGCCCTTAACCCGTGTTTGCGCTGGGCTTTGGACCAACAGCATCAGATGGGCGCCCGTCTTCATGGGTGGCGCCAAGCAGTTAGTAGGGATGTGCGTGACTTAGTGCTTGAGGTTCGTGAAGATCAGGAAGGGTGGCTTGCATTGGGTCTGGAGCACGTGCAGGAGGTTTATAGGCAGGGTTCGGGACAGTTTGTGGTTCAGCTCCTGCCTTTTGCGATTCTTCTTCAGCTGTTCGATTTTCCTGAGTGGGACCAACTCGTGTGCGATCTGTTTCATGGGTTCCGCATGCTTGGGCCGATGACCCCGGGCGCGGCCTGGCGCCTTCGCAGTGATGCGAAATACGCCCGTCCAATTGGGCGCGACCAGTTCCGGTCGTTCAACTCAGCACATGTTCAAACGGTCTTGCAATCAGCCCGCTCTACGGAGCATGCGGAGCGCTTACGCGCCGAAGTTGTTGCAGAAGCCAAGCTCGGCCGTTTTCAGGGGCCATGGTCTCACGAGTACTTGCAGCGACAGATGACTCAGGCCGGCGGTTTTGTTGCCAAGGCGTTCCCAATTGTTCAGGGTGATAAGGTTCGTAGAGGGGACGATTTGTTGCTGTCCGGGCATAATAGTACGGTATGGGCGTCAGACACGCCGCCTTACATGGGGGCACCCACGATTGTTGCAGCTTGGCGGCATTGCGCGCGAATGTCGGTTCCGCGTTTAGCAGCAGTTGACCATGAAGGTGCGTACCGAGTGCTACCGGTTCGAGATCCGGAAGAGTCCTACACTGTCCTCCCAGGCGACGAGGCAGGTTCTGTTTGGCAGCACATGGTGTTGCCGTTCGGCGCCACTAGCTCGGTCTGGGCATATCTGCGCGTTGCAGATGCTATTTGTTTTCTCAGCATCGTACTGCTTCTTCCTGCGGCAGCGCACTTCGTAGATGACTTCTTCATGATTGAAGGAGTGGAGTCGGCGCCAGTTGGATTCGGATCGTTCCAGGATATCCACGCGGCCATGGGATTCCGCATGAAGAAATCTAAAGAGAAGCCGCCTGCAGCCAAACAAGTCTTGTTAGGCGTAGAATGGTCTGTGGGGCGGGAGCAAGTCCAAGCGTCTGCAGGGACTGACCGAATCGAAAAGATCCAGAAGATGATTTCCGGTGTCCTTGAATCAGGTGAGATGAGTCAGCAGATGGCAGCGAAGTCACGTCGTGGGTCTTTGGTCAGGTCGGCAAAGCTTTGCTGAGGCCTCTGTATTGTAGACAGCACGGACTCCCAGGTTCCAATGCGCTATCTAAGCCACTCCGCACAGCGTTGATTGAGACCCAGGGAGTACTCCCTTTGTTAACACCAGTTCAGATCCCAGTGCAGATAGATGAGCAACGCGTGTCTGTTCTGAATGCAGATGCCTTCATTACTCTCCAAGGAGTGCGTCGGGCAGCCAACAAATGGGGGGCAGAATGCCCGCCGTTGCATGCGTTGATGGGTTCTAAGAATGGTTGGGGGGCTTTGTTTTTCGGTTCCTCGGGGCATAGGCGTGCTTTTCGGTGTCAGGTGCCCGTGGAGTCACTGGCTAAGGTTGCTCTTTCAAAAGCGTTCATCTATTGGTTGGAGATGATGGCGCAAATGCTGTCCATCGCGGTGATTGCGCCTCATGTGCGTGGACATCTGGTGTGCTTCGTTGACAACACTGCCGCGGAACATGCGCTGCGCAAGGGCTATGCCAAGAGTGAAGCCTTCACCAAGACGTTAGCCTGCTTTTGGTCTTGGGTCGCGGAAACC